TCACTCCTCCCTCATTAACACCCTCCAAACCATTCATTCACTCCTCCGTCATTAAGTCCTCCCCTCCCCTGGCCCATTCACTCCTCCGTCATTAACACCCTCCAAACCATTCACTCACTCCTCCCTCTTTAACACCACACCCCCACAATCTATTCACTCCTCCCTCCTTAGCAGCCCCCAAACTAGAACAATCTGTGCTCCCTCAATAACAACCCCTTCAGCACAATATTGACTCTTCTGTTGATAATAACACTCCCCATCCACTCATTCCTCCCTCATTGACAACCCCTTGCCCTAGAACATTCATTTCTCCTTCGTTAACACACTCCTCCAGAACATTCACTCCTCCCTCATCAATAACACCAACCCCCACCCCTGAACATTCACTCCTCCCTCATTAACACACCTCCTCCAGAACATTCACTCGTCCTTCATTAATAACATTCTCCCCCCACCTCACTCACTGGAACATTCACTTCCCTCTCATTAACACCCCTCAAACTATTCAACCAGTCCCCTCTCACCTTTCAAATCATTCACTCCTCTCTCATCAATATCCAAGAAACCATTCACCTCCAATCACATTAACAGCCCCACATTATCGACTCCACTCTCATTGCAGCTGTACAGGATATTGGTTGGGCCACTTTTGGAAAACCACATGCAGTTCTGGTCTCCCTGCTATAGGGAGGATGTTGTGAAACTTGAAAGGGTTCAAAAAAGATTTACAAGGATGTTGCCAGGGTCGGAGGGTTTGAGCTATTGGGAGAGGCTGACTAGGCTGTGGCTATTTTTCCTGGAGTGTCGGAGGCTGAGGGGTGACCATATAGATGTTTATAAAATCATGAGGGACATGGATAGGGTGAATGGACAAATAGGCAAGGTCTTTTCCCCAGGGTGGGGGAGTCCAAAATTAGAGGGCATAGGTTCAAGGTGAGAGGAGAAAGATTTAAAAAGGATCTAAAGGGTAACTTTTTCACGCAGTCAATGGTGTGTGTATTGAATGAGCTGCCAGAGGAAGTGGTAGTGGCTGTACAATAACAACATTTATAAGGAATCTGGATAGGTATATGAATAGGAAGGGGTTTCAGGGATGTGGGCCCAATGCTGGCAAATGGGATTAGATTTATTTAGGAAATCTGATCAGCATGGACAAGTTGGACCAAAGCATCCATTTCCCTGCTGTATATCTCTATGATTCTATGACACTAATATACTCGAGCTATTCAACCCCTTCTTACTAACATCCACCATACCCTTCACTCCTCTCATTGACAATTCTCCCAAACTGTTCACTCCTCTGTCATTAACACCTGCCAACTGGTTCATTCCAGTCTCTAAATGGAAGGAAGATCAACCATACTTACCTGGTCTTGTTCGCATATGACTCCAGGCTCACAGCAATGTGGTTGACTTTAAATGTCCTCTGAATATGGCCTAGCAAGACACCCTGTTGTATCCTTCTACTTCAAAATTGGGTAAAAGGAATTAAACTACATGGATCACCCAACTTTGACCCAGGCGCTAGAAATGACAACATAAAGCACAGTTCTGTTGAACCCGCAAAGTCCTCTTCACTAATGTCTGGGGCTTGTGGCAAACTGGGAGAGTTGTCCAACAGATTAGTCAAGCAACAGCCTGACATTCATGCTTATAGAATTGTATCTTACACACAATGTTTGAGACACCACCATCAACATCCTTGGGTACAGCCTATCCTTCTAACAGGACAGACCCATCAGAAGTTACAGCACATAGGTATACACTGATGAAGGAGTTGCCCTAGGAATCCTCAACATTGTATCAGATCCCCATGAAGTCAGGTCAAATATGGGAAAAGAAACCACTTGCTGACCACAACCTATTGACTCCACTCCCAACACTCCCCCACCCCCGACTAGCGCATCAGTACTCCTCCATTTGTAAGAAGCTGTGAAAGTGGAAAGAATGTACTCTGAGTGGAGGACTTAAATGTTTATCACTAATGTTTATTACACATAGCTTGGTAGTACTACCCCTGACTAGGCTGGCCAGTCCCAAAAGATAAATTCTGAGGAAGGGTCACTTGACCCGAAATGGTAACTATGATTTCTCTCCACAGATGCTGCCAGACCTGCTGAGCTTTTCCAGCGATTTCTGATTTAGTCCTAAGAAAAATATTGTTGCTAGCCTGGGTCTGCAGCATGTGGAAAGGGAACCAACAAGAGGGAAGAACATACCTGGCTCCAGCATCACCAATCTGCCTGGCACAGATGGAGCTGTCCAAAATAGTATGTGTAAGAGTGACCACCACACAGTCCTTGTGGAGATGGAATCTTGCTTCACATTGATAATACCGTACATTGTGTTGTGTGGTACTATTACTGTGCTAAATGGATAGACTTCAAACAGTTCTAGAAACTCAAGACATCCCTGAAGGGGCTGCGGCCCATCAACAGTAGTTGAATTGTGCCCCAACGCAATCTATAACTTAGTCTGTCAATCATCAAGATATTGATAAAAGATGTCATGGACTGTGCTATACAGCACAACTTATTCAACAGTAACCAGCTCAGTTTGGGTTCAGACCTCATTACAGCCTTGATCCAATCATGGAGAAAATAACTAAACTTAGAAGGGAAGTGAGCGTGACAGTCCTTGTCATCACGGTGGCATTTGTCCCAGTGTGGCATCAGGGACTGTAGCAAAACTGGTGTCATTGGGAATCAAGGGGGAAAATATCTGCTGGTTGGATCCATACCTAGCAGAAAGGAGAATGGTTGTGCAGCAAACATCTCAGTCCCAGGATATCACTGCAGAAGTTCCTCAGAATAGAATCCAAAGCTCAACAATCCATAGTTACTTCATCAAAGGGCCTACTCTTTATGGTCAGTGGTGGTGGATGTTCACTGATGACTGCAGAATATTCAGCACCATTCACAACTACTCAGATATTGAAACAGTCTGTATCCAAATGCAGCGAGACCTGGATAACGTTCAGGTTTGGGCTGAAAATTGGCAATTAACATTTGCACAACACAAAGGCCAGGCAATAACAGATCACAAACATTACCATTACCTCTTGACATTCAATGGCACTAGAATTTTCATTCGATCCCCCCAGTATCAACATCTTGGGTACTACCAATGACCAGGAAGTGAACTGAAACTATCACATAAATACTACAACAATTCTGCAGCAAATAACTTACCTCCTGAGTCCTCAAAGCCAGTCCATTATCTACAAGGCACAAGTCTTGGCACAGCAGCTCAGTGGTTAGCACCGGGTGACGCAGTGACTCAGTGGTTAGCACTGCTGCCTCATAGCACCAAGGATCCAGGTTTAATTCCAGCCTTGGGTGACTGTTTGTATGGAGCTTGCCCATTCTACCGTGTCTACATGGATTCCCTCCCGGTGCTCCGGTTTCCTCCCACAGTCCAAAAATATGCAGGTTAGGCAGATTGACCATGCTAAATTGCTCTGTAGTGTCCAGGGATATGCAGGCTAGGTGGGTTAGCCATAGTAAATGCAGGGTCCCAGGGATAGGGGTGGGGGGTGCGTCTGGGTGGGGTGCTCTTCAGAGGGTCAATGTGGATTCAATAGGCCGACTGGCCTGCTCCCACACTGTAGGGATTCTATGATTCTATGGTTCAGTGTAATCGAAAACAGTCTACTTGTCTGGATGAATGTAGCTCCAATATTGCTGAAGAAGCTCAACACTATCCAGGTTAAAACAGCACCACAGATAACATCTTCACTACTAACCCACAGTGGCATCTTTATTTACTACATGCAAATTGCAAAAGGTTTGAGTTAGCATCAATTCGTCATGGCTACTCTGACCACAAGTTGGAAAAAAAAAACACAACCCCGCCCACTGAGAAGAACTGGACAGAAAATACATAACACCACAATCTGCAAGTTCCCCTCCAAGCCCAGACATCACCATTGTTGATTAAAATCCTAGAATGCCCTTCTGGAACAGTACTGTAAGTGTGCCTCCACCAATGGACTGCAGCAACTCAAGAAGGCAGAGAGCAATAGAGACAAGCAATAAGTGCTGACACAGCTCGTGATGCTCACAATCCATGAATGATTCCTAAAAAATAACACCCAATAAACCATTTATTCCTTTCTTAATAACATCCAGGAAACTCTTCAGTACTCTTTGTGGCAAGACAAACTTCTGTAGTTATTTCTTTAAGATGGAGACACTATTGTGGTTGCCACAAGAAACTTTCCTGCTCTTAGTAGAAGGTGTATTGAAAAGATTTGCAGGTTGATAATCAACCAGCTTTTCCAAATTATGAATATGCCTTCCATGACCAATAAGTCCTGTAGTGGCTCACTCTTATCCAGATCCCAACAAACCATTCACCAGTGTTTACATGAGTTTGGAAAACAGCAGTGGTCTTCCAGCAGCTCCCCCAGTGTGAAAGAAAATAACCATCACTCTTTGCTTGGTCTCCTTCCACCAATTTCCTAGCCACATCATCATTTTCCCTTTAATAGCATGTGCATCCCTCTTCTTGCCTATGTTGTTAGTGTCAAGGAGGACCACAACCATGGGCTGTTCACCCTTCCCAGCTGTCCTCAGCTGCTCTGGGACTTCCTTGTCTCCAGCACTGGGGAGGTAACAAAACATCCTGGAGTTAGATAACTTCAGAACTGCCTGTCTGTTCCCTTACAAAAGATTCCCGGTCAGCCACAGAGCCATGAAGTCACAGAGTTGTACAGCATGGCAAGAGAACTTCAGTCCAACTCATCCATACTGACCAGATACCCTAAATTAATCTAGTCCCATTTGCCAGCTTTTGGCCCCTATTTCTCTAAACGCTT